TGGCTCACCCCAACAGGGCAGATTTGGGGGTGGAACATTGTTGTCTGTGGTGAGGGAGCTCTAGTTTCACACCCAGCTTCCCCTGTTTCTCCAGCCTCACCTGTCTTCACCTCTTTAGCTGAGTTGTCTTTGAGGGAATACTCTGAGGTTTTAGACCCCACGTGAAAACCAGCCTCCCATGAGAAATGTGCACCTCTAAATCACTCATGGAGGGAACAGGCCAGGGTGGATTTGGGATTTTCTCCATGAAAGAAAGTTATGAGAAAAGGACAAAAGGAGAAAAGTACTTTCTCGCTACCTTCCCAAATCCTGCCATGAAGCTCCAGCAAAGTTTTTAGAAGCCTCCACTTAACAGCTTTCCTGTGGCTCATCAGAGGGAGCTCAGCTGGTTCACAGCTGCAGACACCAAAGGAAGATTTAATAGGTGAATAATTCCTGGCTGCAAACACGAGGCAGGTGCTAAGGACAGTTTGGAAACAATTAGCCACATGTTTCAGGACTGCTGGTGCAGGTGGCCTTGTGTCCGAGCACTCAGAGCTGCATATGATTTGGGGCATAACCATGGAAGTCCTGCTATAGGCACCACCACCCCCTCCCCCAGCATTTTAAGGAAGATAAGGGTGCTAGAATCAGCACTTTAGCTTACACAGCTTTGTATGTCTTTTCTGGGTAAAATGAGTTCTCATTTCCTGAGTAGCTATTCACAAAATGTACAGTTTTGCTCATTTACCTTTATTGCAAGGTCTACCAAAGGTCCTAAAAGTGACCTCAGCTCCACTTCTCTGATGGAGGTGGCTTTCCATGGCACATGCATCCATCTCTGTGAACATGGGCACAGTAATCTTTACACTTACTTTGTATTTTCTTTCACCAACATAAGGATAAGATGAGGACAAGGAGCTGCTGGAGTGAGTCCAGAGGAGGCCACAGAGATGGAGCACCTCTGCCATGGAGACAGGTTGGGAGAGCTAGGGGTGTTCAGCCTGGAGAAGAGAAGGCTCCAGGGAGACCTTAGAACCCCTTCCAGTGCCTAAAAGGGCTTGTCCAAAGACTTTGGACAAGGGCCTGGAGTGACAGGACCTTTCCCACTGCCAGAGAGCAGGGCTACGTGGGATATTGGGAAGGAATTTTTGACACCTGTGAGGGTGGTGAGGCACTGGCACAGGTTGTCCAGAGAAGCTATGGCTGCCCCACCCCTGGAAGTGTTCTAGGCCAGGCTGGATAGGGCTGGATGGGTTGCTCCAGCAACCTGGTCTAGTGGAAGGTGACCCTGCCCATGGCAGGGGATGGAATGAGATGATCTTCCAATCCAAACCACCCTATGATAGGAATCTATGGTCTACTGATTTGCTACCCACATGCCTGCTGCTGTCCTCCTTAGACCTGTTCCCCTTGTCATCACAGGCATGTTCAGCAACACCACTGACCTGTGCCAGCCCAGGATCCCAGATTCCTGGGCTAACCTCAGTGATGCCACCTGCACCCCCCATGCCACCAAGGAGAACCACGAGGTTCTCCTCGTCATGTTCATTGCCCAGGCCCTGCTGGGCATCGGTGGTGTCCCCATCCAGCCCTTCGGTATCTCCTACATCGACGACTTCGCCAGTGAGAGGAACTCCCCCCTCTATCTGGGTAAGGCTGGGGCTGCTGTGGGAAGAGGAGAAGCCAGAATGAGATTGATAGCAAGTCCAGACAGTACTAATGAGAATGAATGAGAGCAGGGTTTGCTCCAGCCCTTCTTCTCTGCCCAGTGCTAGGAAGGCATCTGTAAAAAGAGTTTATCTGCTTCAACCTTGGACAAACAGCAGATGAGGAGTGCTGGAAACATGATTTGGGGGAGATGCTGGGATTTTTGTCCTGTGAGTGATAAGCTGCAGACAGACCTAATAACTATGTCCTCCTCCAAAAAGGCTTCAAGAAGGAGAAGAGGAATAGTCTGATCCCTGTGTTCACAAGAGTCGGCTATAGGTTTAAGATGCAGCCATGAAGACTTTGTTTAAATGTCAGGAAAATTATAGAAAGCTAAAAAAGCAAGTTCAACCATCTGGGAGATGGGAGAGTATCATTCAGCCGAGAGGATGCTGTAGAACTGCTTGGGTCCAGGCCTAAAAGGGATGTCCCAGGGTGGTGGGATGGACAAGATGGTCCTTGTAGGTCCTTCTAGCCCTTTTCCAGCTGTTATCTGTGATGGCCTTTTGACCTGAATGCAGCAGCAAAGGTGGACCAAAAACAGGTTATTACTGTCAATAAAATTGAAGTACAGCATCAAATTTTGCTCTGGTAGAAGATCTAAACCTCTGAATCATAGCTGAAAGGATTACCTGTAACATATGAGTTGAACTTATGTGTGTTGATTTTTTAATCAGTAATTCATGTAGGAGAGTTTGCTGATAACTTATCTCCTTAACCTCGTAAAAAACCTTGGTGTTCCCTGGATTTTTTATGCCAAGGAGCACATTTTGTTCCTGGGTGTATTTCAGTCTTTCCAGGACATTGAAGAAAAGTGGCAGGAAAGTCTTGTAAAACTTTTCCTGTGAAGGGAGCATGGGTTTGTTTTTCCTTGAGGGTTGAGATAAGAAAGCTGACAGGGAAAAAGGGTCTGCTGGAGGCAGATACAGTGGACCCTGGTCCAGCCCCAAGGCACCTCCTATGCCCATGGTCTCTCCATACAGGGCTGAGCACCTCTGTGCTCTCTCCTCTCTGCAGGCATCTTGTTCTCCGTGACTGTCATCGGGCCAGGGGTGGCCTTCATGCTGGGTTCTGCCATGCTGCGATTTTACGTCGACATTGACAAAGTCAGTGGAGGTGAGTGAACTGGGAGAGTTTTAAGACTGATTTTCAGTCTTCTATGAATTCTCTGCCATATGCCAGCACCATCAGCAGGAGCATTTTGCTGCCAGCCATCAGCAGGGAAGAGTTGGGGATGTGGAGGATAACCAAAACCCGGAGAGGAACATAGAGGAGAAAGAAGGAGTGGAGAATGGGTACCAGGACCCTGAGGTGTGAAGAAGCACAGGGAAGAGTAGGAAGGGAGGAAGGTGAAAATGAATAGAAGAGAAATGCTGGGTAGGGCAGGAAAGGAGCATGAAAGGGATTTCCTTTTTAAATGCCTCTACCTGAGATGTGCTATTAAAGCATTTAGAGATCTCCTTTTTGGCTGCTCTTGAGTCCTGGCCTGGAAAACAAGAGGCTTTTTCCTGGTTATTATCAGAGCAGAGGCACATTCAGCCTGGAGAAGAGAAGGCTCCAGAGAGACCTTAGAGCCCTTTCCAGTGCCTAAAGGGGCTCCAAGAGAGATGGAGAGGGACTTTGCACAAGGGGGAATGGCATCCCACTACCAGAGAGCAAGGCTAGATGGGATGTTGGAAAGGAATTGTTCTCTGTGAGGGTGGTGAGGCACTGGCACAGGTTGCCCAGAGAAGCTGTGGCTGCCCCATCCCTGGAAGTGTTCCAGGCCAGGGTGGACAGGAGTTGGAGCAACCTGGTCTAGTGGGATGTGTCCCTGCCCATGGTAGGGGGTGGGACTGGATGAGCTTTAAGATCCCTTCCAACCCAAAGCAGTCTGTGGTTCTATGATTGTAGGGCTCGGCATATCCTTACATGACAAAAAGGACAGTGTACAGACTCCTTTGGATGGTGACCAGACAGCATCGGGTCTGGAGCTGGATGAGCAGCAGGTGACACTATGGATGCATTGCTTTGGCTTCTTTTCAGGGCCTCCAGGGCATTTCTGCTTTCCTGCTCACTGACCTCACTAGACTTTTTCTGCTGTCCTCTGTCACTACATACCTTTCTGATATTTGTAGCACAAGTGCAAATTCTAGTTCTGACATTGCCTCCTCCTGTCAGGTGAAGTCCCAGCTATTGCTGCAGCCATCATCCTCCTCTATGGGGGAGCCTTGGCAAGGTGCCTGGTGTTCTGGCTTACCTGTCAGGTACCTTTTTGTCCGAAGGATAAAAAATTGGCATTAGGGCCTGCTGTCTGCCTGCACACCCTGATGCTCAGTTGTTCTAAGCCACCTTCTGCAGATGGAAATTGAATGAGAAATGTGCTTGAGAAGCCAGAGCTAGAGAACACCTAGTTTTAGAGCTATTTTCAGCCTAAAGATGTCTTCAGCCTAATGGGAAAACCTGACAAGCTGCAGCTGCTCAGTGATAAACCTAATTTAACCTGTTGTTTTCTTAGAAAAAAACCAATAAATTGGTGTTTATCAGGAAAGGATTTAAGATGCCAATTTGCTAAATGCATTGCACAGGGAGGAGATTATCAAATTTCTTTGTGCTATCACTTGTTACCTCTAGAGATGGGAGATTAGATGTGTCAGTAGCTGCTGTGCCAAACCCCAGTAAACCTACTGCAGTTTTCATTGCACCTCCCCAGTGTGAGTGGCTTGCTTATGCTAAACCTCACAGTTCAGGTTTCCAGGAGGACTAGTTTCTTGGGATATGCTTGTGAATACCATTTTTCTACAGGGATCACCTTTTTCTGTAGAAATCTTCCTTGTTCAGACACACCCTGATGTGAATTTGCATTCTGGCTTCTGCATACCCTTGTTTTATTGATGCCAGGTACCCTCCCCACAGAGATTGTGATCACTGGTGCAGTGCCCAGAAGATGGCAGGAGAGGAGGCTGGGAAAACTGAAGGCAGACAGACAAGAGAGTGGGATATAATCCTTATTAAAGCATTTTTAATGATGGGCTTCCTTTGGTTGAGCTGCAAACCAGGCAGTGGCTGATGGACCAGTCTGGGGGACGCTGCTCCAGGGTCCAAGTCCTGCGGCAAACTGGGAATCCTTGTGTGGGCAGACAGATTGCAAACACCTAAACAAGTGCTCTTGAATCCCAAAAGTCAACTGTAATTAAATCAATTTTAAACTTTAGAAAGTTTTTTTTCCTTCTGTACTGCCAGACATCATGACTTAATCCCCTTGGGTGGATATTCATAACTTGGGTATCGCTTCTCTGAAAAAGTTGTAATGGGGATGCTTTCCTTTGTCTTTCTAGCTCTAGGATATCCCTGTCTCCATCCGGAGGGCTCAGTGGCTTTTTGGACACACTGGTGATAGCAAAGAATGAACTGTGATTTAGCACCATGAGATGAGTCAGGGGCACATGCTTCTCAGACCCCAAAAACTGGTGATCCCCAGGTTTAGAGTCACCACTTTGGAGCTGATTGATGTTTGGGGTAACTGGGGCCACCCATCACCATCCCTTTGGTGCTGTGGTGTCTCTCCCTCTGTTCACTGTTGATTTGATGCCCACCTCTCCATTTGTGTTGCAGCTGAAGTCCAGCTCACGAACAAGGACCCGCGGTGGGTTGGTGCCTGGTGGCTTGGTTTCCTGGTGGCAGCCAGCCTCGTGGCCCTGTCTGCTGTGCCTTACTTCTTCTTCCCACGGGAAATGCCAAAAGAGGTAGGAGAGGTGCTGAAGATGGGCCTTGTAAACACCTCATGTTTACATGCACGTCCCTCCCTCCCTGATAGCTTTAACATTACCTGCTGCATCCATGGGAAACATGACCAGGGAATGATGCAGCTCATAGCTGTATCCCAAAGTCAGAGCGGAGCTGTGGTTTGCTCTCATCTTCCATGTCAGAGGGATCTGTATGCTAAGCACATGCTTGGTGATGTGGTGCAAGCAGCTTGATGGATGTGATAATTTCCTTAGTGGGGCACTGAAGCAGAGCCTGTGTGTTGATTCCTCTGCACAGGAACCTACAGCACTGAGCAAGTTCTGTGTGGGTTGGGGTCCTTCTCACAGCCATTCTCCTGGCTCACCTGCAGGTGGGACTCCTTGTCTTCCACAGGAAAGCAATGGCAGTGGTAGGTTCAGGGTTGAACTCAGTGATCTTAAAGGTCTTTTCCAGCCTGAATGATTCTGTGGTCCTGCTTCTTCTGCAAGCACAAACACATGCTGGGTGGAGTATGGATGGAGGGCAGCCCTGGGGAGAAGGACCTGGGAGTGCTGGTGGGTGAGGAGCTCAGCATGCCCCTCTGCTCTGGAGACAGGCTGGGAGGGCTGGGGATGTTCAGCCTGGAGAAGAGAAGGCTCCAGGGAGACCTTAAAGCCACTTCCAGTGCCTAAAGGGGCTCCAAGAGAGCTGGAGAGAAACTTTGGACCAGGGCCTGGAGGAAGAGGACAAGGGGGAATGGCTTCCCACTGCCAGAGGGCAGGGTTAGATGGGATATTGGGAAGAAATTTTTCTGAGGGTGGTGAGTTACTAGCACAGGTTGCCCAGTAAAGCTATGGCTGCCCCATCCCTGGAAGTGTTCCAGGCCAGGTTGGACAGAGCTTGGAGCAACCTGGGCTAGTGGAAGGTGTCCCTGCCCATGACAGGGTGGAACTGGATGAGTTTTAAGGTTCTTTGAGCCCAAACCGTTCGATGATCTCTTTTGGGACCTGGTGGGAGGTGCTGCACCAATGGCCCTTGTTTCTCTTCAGGAGGATCCACATGTGCTCAATGAGGACATCTGTCACAGTTTATAGGAAACATGACTAATCAGGAGCCTTTTGTTAGAAGTGGGTGTACGTCGGGGCTGTTGGTAATAGAGGCTGGTTTATCTTCTTTCCTCTGCAAAGCCTCTTGTCACTGCTCACTGTCTACAGGGCTCAGGGTCAGCTGCTTCTCCAGCATCCAGCTTCACCCACCACCTCTCCTTACTCAGTACTTTTTGATGGCCAAAAGTGTTTAAAACCCTTGCCAGCCCATAAACACCCTGTCTCTGTGAAGTCTTCAGAGAGAACTGGCAGGGTAAACTCTTCAGCAGCCTGAGCCTGTTGCAAGCCCCATCACTGCCAGTGCAGTTTGCTTGGGGCATACTCATCCCTGGCTCTTGCTGCAGCCCACTGGTGGGACACTGCTTTACTGTGTTTACTACCAGAATTTGTACTTCTCTGAAGCTCTCCTGAGCGCTCCAGTGCTCATGCCAAGATGTGAAACAACTCGTGAGCTTCCCAAGTGCTTCTCTGGCTGCAGGTCCTGACGTGTTGGAATAATACACAACAAATTGTGCTATTAGAGGAGGCATCGTGCTATGGGCTTGAATGTTGAAGCTGCTGGGACATGCTGAGCAGGTGAAATTGTGCTCATCTCAGTGTCTTGGCCACACTCTAACCTGTGTGATTGCCTTCCACATGATTTTACTTTGTGGCAACATCAAAGCTTTCCTGTCTAAACAAGTCTGGTGCAGAATAATCCTTCATTTCTTCTGACACTGCCTGAATTTCCACAGGAATGAGTGATTCTTAAGGAGATTTGGGGGTTTCCCTACCTGGGAAAATGCAACCTGTTGTACCAGTTAAACTTCTGGGGTTATAATTATGTACTCCTGGGCTATGTAGGCTGTGAGGTTTGCAAAGGTGCTGTGAGGTAAAGGGGTGGAAACTGCTCAGGTCATTGCAAGATGAGGGCAATCCTGAATGCAGCATGCCTGATTTATCCTCCTGAAGCTTGGATCACTTTGAAGTCCTTCTGGATGATCCATATTAGCAGAACCAGCTCAGTGTGCCAGAGTGGTGCACTCCCTCATAGGAGAAAGGTTCTGTATTAGGGCTGATGTCATCAATAGCTCTTGAGAGAAAATAATGTACTCCCAGCTAAAACAGCTGCACTTTTTGGCAAGTACTGCACTCTGAGCAGTTTGGAAGACTTTAAGGAAGGAATGGGTGGATATTGATTTCAAAATGAACAGGAAGATTTCACCCTGCTCTACTGACTACTATCTGTAGGGAATATTCCCACATGGCTGAGCACCCACATATCCCTTTGCAGCCCACATCTTCTTGAATTTCTCCCCATTTTACCATTTCCCCCAGAAAGCTTTTGGAATCTGCTGACAGTTAAAAATAACAATAGGAAAATATTCTATGTGATGGCAAAATTCTGCCCTCCTTGCAGGATGGGAGACACTAGGGCGAGCCATGCCTGTCCCATGGGGCTATCAGCACTGGCAGCAGCAGTAAGGGGCCCTGCTTAAAAAAGTTAAAATAAAAGCCTATGTAGAAACTTTGCCAGATGCTGTTCTGGACAAAACATGTCTGCTGTGGTACCACTCAAAGATTCACTGGAAGTCTGCATGGTCATGGATGTTTCTCTGTATGTGTGTGTGTATATATATATCTGTATCTAAATATATAGATATCTAAATAT